AGTCCGTTTGATTTAACAAAACAGAAAATTACTGTACAGTTTGAATAATCAGAAAAGTGAATTTTAGGATTGCTTAGTAGTATTGACACAATCACAGTCATATTTCTTTGAGTGAGATTCACATGATAAATGATTATGATAGTGTCAAAATTGCTTAACAGTCTTAAATTCTTGAATTATATTATTAAAATTACTAAATGAATGTTTTTAACTACCTAATAATCTTTTGTTTTATTGTAAATTCTACAATTTAAATCATTAAATAAAAAATAAGCCTTGTCCCATTTAGCTTTTATTTTACCATCCAAATTATAAAATAAAATTTCCTTCACAAAATTTATTTTCATTTTTCCCTTTGATTAAATATGGTGTGGGGAACACACTTGGACCTTGGGGTCAGTGACGTCAAGTTAGGTTTAAATACATCTCTTTTTTTTTCATTTCAGACAACGATTCAAATCCAATCCCTTACAAAATTGTTCAAAAAAAAAAAATGTTGTGTGGGGAACGGCTGAAATGGGTAAAGTGGCTAAGGGTTGCTGGGAAATATATAGTATTGCAAATAAAAACGGTCCATAATCCATATTAAGTGTATGTTATAAGATGCAACACAAATGAAAAATTGCATAAACTATACATTTGTTTAGTTTGGATGCCTCCGCCCTATACTCCAACATTCGGGCTTTGGAAAATCCATGCAGCAACACGCATTGCACAGAACTACAGAAGGCAATATCGGACATTTTTCCGAGTGCCCCCTGCGTTGGATCATCATTCGTGGGGCTGATTGACTTGGACCCCAAACTTTTACTCCATTCCTCTTAAACCCTCTCGCGGCTGCCCGAATCCAACTTCCTTCTTTGAAGCCTCTATTTGGCATGTACAAAATTGAGGAAAATTATGGACTCTGGCATGGAATTCAGTTCCAGATCACATGGATGGATATACAAAGACAATATACAACCATTTCTCACAGTAAAAACTATTCTGACGCTGGAACCTGTAGGTGATTATAGTGTATTTATGTGTTGTGGTCACCATGGATCCTATAAACTTGGATTTTGGAAGAATGGCCAACGTTTTCATGAGTACAAATAGATGCTTTTGAGAGTGATGTATGCTACAAAGACATTGTATCTCATCGAAACCAGCTCTATGCATCATGCAAACTGGATCCATTGTTACTTGGGCTTTACAAGGTGGTTGTTCTAGAAAAAGAATCACCTTTGTTACAACCTTTCCAGGGAAAACCATGGAACAATGGACAGTCGTGGCCATTCTGTTGGCTTGTTCCTTATCATTGTTGATTAGAAGCAATGGATATCTGTCTGTTTTGGAGGAGCTAAAACAAGGAAAAGCAAAGTCAGCACCAGCTCTCAAATAGTGCATGGCTCACAACATTGTGGATAGTACCTTTGGAATCTACAACACATGTTATGGTGGGTCATAAAATTGATCGACTAATAGAGAAAAAAGACCTTTTTTTTAATCAACAGCATATATTTTATTCAACATAGAGAAAAAGGACTTGTTCAAGCAAGTTGTACTTTCTCATTGAAACTCCTTCAAATTTGAGAATACATGTCTTGATTTTCATTTAGAAGTCAATTTTTTGTTGGAAGTTCCAGATTTTACGTTTCGTTCAGAAAACAGTAAGATTATGTTCGGTGGGAGTAATAATAGCCATTCCTTAATCAAACTATGAAAATAAGGTAAAATTAGGAAACTTGAAAGTTAGAAATATGTTTTCCTTGAGATTATTAATTTTTGAAGAGAAGAGTACATATTCCTAATGATGATATTAATATACTTTCACTAAGCTACTTCGAAACCTTAATTAGTCCTAAAGATATCATTTTTTTCATTTTGAAATTCAACAATTTGTGGGGTGATAGAATTTGAGGTTAGGATATAGCCTAAACACAGAACTAAGGTATCATTCGGGCTGTCATCAAGAAGATATGTTTTTTAGACACACCTGTAAAGAAGAGCTTGCATATAAATCTTTCCTCTCGTTCTTATTCAGAAGCCATACGGGATGATACCTAAGACCGAACAAGTAAAAGAAGTATGAGCTACATCTAACAATGCAAAAGAAGAAGAAAAAAAAAAAAAAAAAAAGATTGAGAATTAAACAATACAGGATCATACCTCTATTTCCTGTTCGTTAACTGTTAAGGTCTCAGAACCTGTTGCATTATGCGCATTAGGGGACACTAGGCTCTCTATATAGATATCAGCTTCCTCACAATCCATAACACCATAAATTACAGGATACTTGTAAGTTTTTCCATCCATGTCGAAGATGGCCAGATAATTACCAAGGAACATCAGAATTCCATTGCATTTCATGAAACAGAGAGATTTAGATAATTGGGAGGGCGTTAAATTCCATGGATATTTCACACTAACCAACTTAGTCCAGGATTCCTTGACCCCATATTCTTTCATCATCCAAATATCCACACAGACCCTAAATCGAACACATAGTATGCAAAGGCAACCGCCCATTACCTTCAACGTCTGCTTAGTCTCCTGGGAAATGCAATCGGGCTGCGAGAGTGTCTCGAATCTCTCCTCTGCTAAATCATAAGAGACAATCATCCAAGAATTGTTTGGCCTAACATCGACACCCCAATTCAATGCTCCACCCACAACCTTACCTGAAGATGGTTCCGAGGCTATTTCTGAAGGGAATTCCTCAATGCTCTTCCAAGAATCAGCTCTCAAAGAGTACACGTTGGTTCGAGGCTTCCCGGTTTTCCCAATTGCCAATTGAACCAGCTTATAATCATCAAAGCTCTGGCTGTAACCAAACCCGTAAGCAGATTTCGGTGGAGAACCCGTCGCACACGAAGCAATTACCTTCCATTCTTTAATGGAAGGATTCCACATGATCAACAGATTCTCCTGATGCCTGAAACAGAGACAAACCAACCCATTGCACGACCCGACAATTTCGACATTGAGACGAGCTTTTCTCATTGGATAATCAAGATCAACAGAGCAGCCTTTCAGTTCGTGAAAAATATTGGATAAGGAGCATGACTTGAGAACACGCCATGGGTACTGAAAAATAACCCTCCAATGCTCCAAACCGTCATGGGACTTGACGAGGGTGAGGTGATTTTGGACGAAACGAGGATCAGAGATGGAGGAGCACCAGGATTTACAGACGCAGCGGAATCGAAAGAGAGATTTAACCGGTAATCGAGTTAGGATACTTTCAAAGATGATTTCTTCGGGGACTACAGGGAGAAAGGGGGGGCGTTTTTTCTTGCAGAAAATCTGAGGTTGTTGGGGGTAGACTCTGGCCATGGACAGGGTTTTAAGGTTCTAGGAGTTGGAACGCAGTAGATTCAGAGGAAGAAGAAGAAGAGCGGAAACGTCGAGAAAACGCATTTTAACGTGTCTTTCTGTGGGTCCAAATCGAGACTTACAACGCTTTTCAGCTGCCACGTCAACGGTCAACCGGAGAAGCTAACAAAGTGCCGTGGTCAATTAGAATTAGGTTGCGTTAGGAATTGGTTTAATCACCATTTTTTACATAATAATTCATAAAAATGTATTTTTATTTTAAAA